GGTATAAATGTAAAACTAGATGGGAAAAGTCATAGTATTAAGATTTCACAATTACCTGACGACACAACACTTTTTTTGTAAAGATAAAAACGATGTAGTAACTGCAATGAACGAATTAGAAACTGTTGGTTCTTTTTCAGGTTTTTTTTATTAAATAGAAATAACACAATAAAACAGAGGGCTTATGGATTGGGAAATTGAAATCGTGTAAAGATACAATTGTCGGGATTAAGTGGGGAGATAAACATATTAAAGCTCTAGGGGTGTTTTTCAGACATGATAAAGTGGAATGCCAAAAATTAAATAGGGATTGTAAATAGAAAACATGAATAAATTATTTATGATATAGAAAAAACGAAATCTATCAATTTTAGGGAAAATCCTAATTATAAAGATTTTATTATTGCCTTTATTTACATTCCTAGGAAACGTCTGTTTAATTTTAGAAAATTATCTAAAAGAAATAGAAAACAAAAGCTTTAAATATATTTGGGATGGGAAGCCAGACAAAGTTTAAAGAAGCCTGATGATAGGTCCATATGAAAAGGGAGGTTTAAAAATGGTCGACTTTAAAAGTTATTATGTGGCTTTAAAAGCATCATGGGTAAATAGATTGGTAAATGGTAAACTTGCGACTTGGAAGCTTATACCATAGAAATATTTAAATGTTTCAAACAGAATTCTGTCAATATTTAGCATGAATTTGAACGATACTAAATCTCTGAAATATTCTTAAAATTTTCCTGCGTTTTATCAAGAAGTAATAAAGTCCTTGAATTTGAGTGGCGGGGGGCAAACAAAACAACCAAATACATTTATTGATATCAGAAAACAAACAATATGGGGAAATAAATTTATAAAATTTGGAAATAAATCATTTATATTGGATTAAGATTGATCTGATTTACATAAATGATATCTTAGATGATACAATGTCATTATCAGAAATCTACCATATAAACAAATTAAAGTTCAAAATAAACTGGATCGCTGAATTTCATTAATTAAAAAATTCTATCCCAGAAGAATGGATCCATGTTGTTCAAAAAGAAAATTCGGTTAAAAGTACAGTTGATATTCAGAGAAATAAGATTATCTGGAAAAATCATTATACTGAGACTCACTTATTAACAAATGAAATATTATATAACTCTTTAATAAGTATAAAAATAGAGCCATCAATAGGAATAAACAGATGGCTTAGAATCCTAGAAATACAAGAAACTATAAATATGAATTCATTGTACCAATTTATTTTTGAATATCTGACTGAAAATAAGTTAAAAATATTTAGATGGAAATTATTACAGTATATTGTTCTAACGAAAAAAACATTTATTGCAATGGAAAATAACTAAGACAGATAAGTGTAATTTTTGTAACCAAGAAGAAGATTATGCACATTATTTTCTATATTGTTCATATTTGATTAAATTTTGGAAAAAAGTTGATCACCTCTTTAAAAAAAGTAAAAATAGAATTTGTTATTAATTTACAACATCTTATATTTGGATATAAAATCACAAATAGAAAATATTACTTTTTGAATTATCTAAAAACGATACTTAGTTTTTCTATCTACAAGTCATATTATGTATCCGAACAGAGAACAAAAATTGTTGATGTCTATAGTATTTTTGAGATGAATTTAATAAGAGAGAAGACACAGATATATATAATTCAATATGTCCAATGTTATTGTCAATTAAAAATGATTTTAGCAATAGTTAGTCTTTATATAGGACACTTGTACATCTTAATAAGTTACTAAGTTTAATCAGCTGTTTATTTTCCTGGATAATCAGTTGAGTGTAACAGAACAAATCAAGAGAAGCATGGACACGTGGTGAGATTTGTAGCAAGCAAGATTTGATGAATAAATATTATTATGTTTTTAAAAAGAAAAAAAAACATTCTCCCGAAACCCTATGACATAAACATATAAGGACGAGACTTTTAATCGAAATCTGATAGAAAGATGAGATGTCCTGACTTGCTACATACATTTTTTTCAAATAACGGAGTGGTGGGGGTTTAACTAGGTTTGTGGGATCTCAAACCTCCCCTTAATCATATCTTATTTCTATCAAAGTTATAAAGACATACTAAAAAATACTTGCACAAAACAAATGTGTCAAATGACCGCTTAACTATTTATTATCAAATGAAACCAGAAGCTCGTATGAGCCTGTTATGGCTCACCTGCCAAAGTCTGTCAAATTGAACCTGATATTTGTTTTTTAAAGGATCTTCTATATATGCTTCCTGTAAAGTGTGGTTACATTTGGCAATGAAAAAAGTAAAATAACAAAAATACCAAACTCCAAGGAAAATTCAAATCGGAAAGTCCATTACAAAATGGCAAAATCAAAAGCTCAAACACATCAAACGAATGGAAAACAACTGTCATATGTCAAATGAAGTTTCAGAGGACAAGATTGTAAACAATATCAGCCAATCAGAAACAAAAAGTGCCCATGGCAGCCATATTTGCTATCTGATCAGGACAAAATAAGACACTTTCGTAAGGGACCTCCAATAAATGCTTCATGTCAAGTTTAGTTTAAATTTGGCCAACCAATTTGAGAGTATAACTAAAATATTTAATCAGCCAATCAGAAACACAAATTGACCATGGAGGTCATGTTTGTCTTACGATCGGAACAAAATTTGTGAAGGACCAACCATAGATCTTTCCTGTAAAGTTTGGTTCCATTTGGCCAAGAGGTTTCAGAGGAGAAGGTTTGGCGGTTTCAGAGGAGGTTTTTTTTAAATATCCCCCATGGCAGCCACGTTTGTTGTCCGATCGGACCAAAATGAGCAAATTTAATAGAGGACTTCCCAAAGATGCTTTACATGTATGTCAAGTTTCATTTTATTTGATCAAGCGGTTTAAGAGAAGAATATTTTTGAGATATTTCTCTCTTGCTCTCAAATGATATATAGCAACCTGCATATCATTTAATTTTTTTCGCTGAACAGATCCAAGCCTGGGCACTTCTGAATACAATTTATGGATAAAAATAATTAAATTTGTATGAAGTTTTCGTACATGGGAAATCATGAATAGTATGTAATGCCGTTTTCTATCCACCTTATATACTCTTTTCATTTATGGAACTGACATTATAACTGTTATAAATATAATCATTCTTTATGCGTGAACCCCCTATGTATTGGCGACTTTTGGAAGCTTCTATGAGCCATTCAGATATCCTCGGAAACAAGATTCTCGGAACGTCTCGAAAATCTTCGATCAATTATACAGGTAGTTATCTATGTCTTTGATACGGCCCCTCTATGGATAGGCTACCACGTGACTGTGTATATTTCAACGAACCAAGTTCATTTGTAGATCGGAAAGTATATAAGTAAAGAAAGTAAGTGACAGAACATATGCGTTTTGATTTGAATGTTTATTAAATATCAAGTAAAAGGATAACGCAATTAGATAAATAATTAAATCGTGTTTTGATACGGTCCCTGTACGCGTAGTGTGTGCAGTATTTAATACAACGTGCTATTGTGTTTTGTAATAATAAACTTGGGAATAGTATACTGACAATAAATTATGTCCAATAATCTGATTATTTCTGAACGTTTACCACTTAATTCCATCATAGCCTGAGCAAGTGTCGGAAAGCAAGAAGAAAATGAAAAAAAAAACGATATTTCTGTCAGAAGTCCGAAACACAGTGGTTTGAAAACAGAAAGATAATTAAACAAAACGTTATTCTGTCAAAAATAGTTAATTTCATTAATAGATACTATCAGACCAATGGAAATTCAATGTTCATTAAAATCATTTAGTTTAACATACATGTGACAGAGTTGTCAAGTCACAACCGGAGATTTGAAAATTTTCAGTAGGAGTTTGGGCCTCAAAACTGAAGATTTTTTATCGACATATTTATCGATGTTTTCTGTGTTCATTTTGATAATAAAGCTACATATTTCCCCCTTTTTTAAGATAACAGTATTACTATTAATGAATTATCTCTGTATTGTTACAATGTGAAATATTTTCCAACACTAAGCTATACGAAAAATTTGTATGTGATTTTTTTCCTTTACTCATCTTTGTCACCTATCTTAGTGTGTTCCTCAGTTCCAACATCCAATCATAATTTATGTGTTTTAAAGTGTTATTCCATTTTCCAAGCTTATTGTTCATTCGGCCAGATTTAGCATAAACACTTAAAAATCATTAAATTACCATCCTTAAATGATTCTTCGTTCAATTTGTATTTCATTTATATTCTTTTATCAATTTACGTTATGTTAAGGAGGGTAACTTAAAACATGATAAAACAAGGGAAGTAACCCGAAATTTCATTTAAGTGTTTTCAAATACACAAAGCTTTTATTACATAACGGCAGTTAGCCTGAGGTAAAAATCGTTAATTAATAGTATATTTGACACCCAAGGTGTCAAGTGAAGCCATATAATTATACAAGTTCTTTGATTTACAGGTAAAAATTACCTTCATCAGTGAAACAACAATGTAATTAATGTGGACATCGATGGTAAAAAAAAATAGAGACTGACAATTTTTTTGGGGTTGAAATTTAAAAAAAACCGGAAGATTTGAATAATTAACGAGAGGGACAGAAGAGGGCTTAAAATTCGGAAGATTTTGACTCCCGCCGGAAGAACCACATGTCTCGACTTTCAGCGTTCTACTTCTAGACCCGAAACCAGGAGTTTTATTTCAAGTATAGGACATTTAAATTTTGACATGATCATGTTTCAATGTCTCTTTCAAGCAAATGTTTGAAAAAAATCATATTTTGAAAACATGTTGGTTGTTGCGTTTCCTTTTATTTTGGGAGAGAATAGTTTATTGATTGATGGTTTGTTTTATATAATGAAGTAATTTTGTTTAGTGCATATCATTTTTAGTCCTTTCAAATTTGAAATACATTTATGAAAAATTCTATAAAAAAACATGAGAATGAAATAATCTGAATCTATGCACAAACATAATGCAAAATGTTACCTTAGATGATTTAACCATGGGATCCATTTCTTTTTGTTCTATCAGCCATTTTGTTAACTCAATGTTTCCACTGTAAGCTGCCAAATGTAATGCTGTTTCTCCGTTCTGTAATGATGATTAAAGTATTATGTTTTGGTGTTTGATGCTAGTTAAATAAATCAGTGTTTAGTTACAGTGTATGATTAACGTCTGTCGTATACTGATAATTAAGTATTATGCTGTAGTGTTTTATAGTAGTTAAATAATTCAGTGTTTTTGTCTGTGTAATATGATTACTTCATATCCTTTCCGTAGTATTCATAACTTCTGCCAAAAAACCAACATAAACAAACATTCTAACCACCACGAAATAGCAAAGTAATGCTGTTAGTGGCGTTAAACACTAATAAGTCAATCAATCAATCAATCAACAAACATTCTAAATAATACAGTTTTTTTAACTAAGCACTTATCTAAGTACACAACCATGTGTGTCTGTGTTGGTCAACAAGATGTTTGCGACATTGTATCTCATGGTACAGGTATACATGACAAAAAAAAATAATGTTCATATAAAATCCTTTACGGTTCTAAAAATCCTAAAGGATATTTTTTCTCCTAGAGTTTTATATCTCTTAAGATAGAAAAAAATGAATAGGATATTTTTTTCTCCATCGGGTCTTTCCATTGTAGAATTACTCTTATAGGATTACAATTATTCATATAGAAATAATAACAAATCATAACGGAAAACATGCAAAAAAAGGAGAAAACAAATCAAATTGGGTTAATTTATGTCCTATAGGACCATTAATAATCCAACGGGAAAAATTGTAGCATATAGGATATAAACAAACAAATCACAGATGATAGGAAAATATATCGGATAGTGAGAGTATTGGAAGACAATGATTCTATAGCAGTACATTTATGAAGATTTTGATAATAAAACGGATTTTCGTTTACAAGAAAGTTCACAAACATTTGTTTTATAGTAAAACTAAGCCATTCAAGTATATAAAACATATTTATTTTTTTTTAATTCGAAGTTTCATATGACTTTAGTGTCACTCAGTGAATATCAGGAAAGAACATTATCTTTTTGCTAAGATTCAAATAGTCACTTCCTGTTGATTTATTGTTGACATATTGCAAGGTAACTTCGAATATTTCCGTAAATTGAAATGATATGACAATGTTTTGTAAACCTTTCATGAACATTAAAGTTGTAATTATAAATAACAAGGTTGCACTAGTTGTATGTTAACACCTTTTGTCCTAAGAGTAAACGAATACAGAGAAAAACGGCCCAAACTATTCACAGTACACAGAAAGTAGATAACAAAAGCAACATGAATTTTATATAATTGTGGTAATAACGGTAATTTTTTGTTTGTTAACCTCGATAACAATACTGAAATCAAATCATAATCATATTTCAAAAACAATATCTATTTGAACGTTGTACTTGGAAATTCAATTTGTCTTATCATGTATGGAGAATATGACAAAATAAGTGGACATGTAGGTTGGAATATAGAATCTTCAAAAATTATACAATTTTGTACAGTTACGGAGTTTTGGCGTGTTCCAGTGATATAAACAACTATTAGAAAAAAAAATAATAGGATTTGGAACGTTAAAAAAATGTTCGCATTGCAATATTATTTCATTTAAAAAAAAAGGTCTTAGCTGATTTTCAGTTAGGCAGCAACTTTTACGTCATTAGGCAAACCCTAATGGCTCGGGGTCAGAATAATGTGTCCGGATAGGAGATAAAGATTCTCCAGCAAAATTAAATCAAAATAAAAATTGAGATAGACATACCTAAAAGTTTTGTTTAAAACAATAAAATACCAAAAGATTTTTGTAAAAACATTTGGAATATCTTATTTACATAAGTATGCGCTAAATTTGTGCAACATTTCTCTTTGAAAATGATTAATTTTACGTCACGTAAAATAACATTTAACGTTAGCTACGTCAGTATCTCCCCTGTAACTGTATCGTATGCCCTTTAGCAAATTAAAATAAAATGTCAAGTTATGTTCTTTCATTGGATACTGTAAATATATGATATATGCCAACCATTTATCACTTGTATATCTTAATTAGCCAGAGCTGACACATCCACTTACATTGTTTCAGCTATAACTCTGAATTATAAAGCCTTATTTTATATTCAAGACAACTCATGCATTTGTTAGTTATGATTCCGGTTAAATCAAAACCAAAGACTTTACCAGTGCAAATACCAGCAGAGATTATTATTCATAGGTATAATCATCATTAAGTATGCTCAAGACACATGCTAATTAATATGCTTAGTCTCGGTACGATTTAAGGCTTGACATAGAGATACCTGCAAATTCGTGAAGACATGTACATTTATTTTGGTTATGTGTGTCGTTGGATTGCTGTATACATGCTAACGTCTACTCAACATCAACTTTAACTATATATGTTTGTGAACTCGCATGGAAATGATACATGCACAACATCATAGTAAACATGCGGTTTTGTCTTAGACTAATACATTTATCTATTGTTCCAAGGTTGTTTGTATGGATTTTTTTCTATTTTTCGTCGTCAAAAATCACAAAGTCCGTCTTGATATACACCATGAGATAATCTATTATTTTTTTTATGGTTATCTTAAACGTTACTAAAACGCAGCTTTCTCAATTTAGACATTGAAGATAGCTAGATAGCTAAATTACGACAGATTGACGCATTGTTTATGTTTTTATTGATAAAAACTGTGTTCTTTAGTTTACGATAGCTTTCAGTTCTTCAGTTTGGTAAGAATCCCCAAAAACATTTTTGTTGGTGATATCTCCCCATTTGAAGGTTTTAAGGGTTGACAACTACATGTATATAATCAAAACGTGTCATACTAACCTGGTTATAGACATTGGTAAAACCGAGTTTTGTATTTGGTCATACTCAATAAAAAAAAATTATATAGTTTGGTTTTTAAGAACGAATACTGTAAAGGTGACAGACACAGTATTTGTTTGCAACATCACCTCAAACAAAATGTACTTCCTTGAGTTTTGTTAAATTATTTAGATATTGGTAATTAAGCCATACTTTGTTCGATAAACGATTTCAATTGTCTCGTCGGGTTGCTGTCTCATTGACGCATGCCCCACGCTTTGCTTTATTAATGATACACTCAATTTAGCATGTTCTTGATAAATGTCTGCCTTGTTCAACTGTACTTGTGAACTATTTACATATTTAACGGAATTAGTTCAAATGCTAGTTCACTCCAACATTACCTACATGTACTTTATCTACAAATGATGTACATGTACCAGTATACAGAATACTGAGGAATTGATTGAAAGAAGAATACAGAACATGAATTCCCAAAACATTTCTGCATGCCTATAGATATACAGCAAGTAATATAAAAAAATATGAAGCTGAGAAGTTAACTGGTCTTATATTGTAATATACAAAGTAAATTATATAAAGATTTTGGTCACATAATTTTGAAAGAAACTGTTTGTATGATATCTTATACAATGAATGAACAATCTTTGGAATATATAAAAACAAAAAGGTGTAGTATGATTGCCAATGAGACAACTCTCCACAAAAGACCAAATGCCGCAGAAATTAACAACTATTGGTCACCGTGCGGCCTTGTCTTCTTTTTTTTTTCTCTGCTGGGTTTGAATTATGTTTTGTACATATATACTGCAATGGCTTTAGAAAAGGATATTGGAATTGTTTAATTTCGGAATGTTGGTACCAGCTATGGTAATTGTATGAGCATGTCCCTCATTGTTTAACAGAACCATAGGACCTATCGTCAACATTTGTCATTTATGGTTATTTTAAACGTATTTTGAATGAAAGGAGATGTGGGGAAAAATTCAGAAGCAGTCAAACAACTCAAACAGCCAGAACACATCTAAATAACTGATTCATTAAGGGCAAGAGATGGTTTGAATAAATGTTAACTAAAAATTGTGTCTCGCTGATTAACAACCTCATTGAAAAACCATATTGATACTAATAACTCAAATTAGATGACAGATAATGGGTGATTAAAACCAAACTTTCTTGAAATGATACATCTACATTTGGAATGATTTTGATGAACCTATAATATATACCGAATATTTTGATTACGAAATTGAAAATCAATTGTATATATGGTATAGAGCTATGTGAATAAAAGGAGATGAGATAATACTTAAAACAGGAATATTCATTGGGGAGACAGCAACCCAACAACACAAGTATGTACAAATTACCATACATGCATTTAGACAGACAAGGTCACAGCAATAACGGTCCGTGTATATTTGCGTCCATTCGTTTTTCATTTTGAAATATCAAAAACAAAAAACAAAAAACGAGAGTGTTTTCATTTTTCGTTTTTGATTTCTCAAAAACCAAAACGAAAAACAAAAGTGTTTTCATTTTTCGTTTTTGATTTCTCTAAAACCAAAAACGGAAAACGAAAGTGTTTTCATTTTTTGTTTTTGATTTCTCTAAAACCAAAATGAAAATCTAAAGTGTTTCCGTTTTTCGTTTTTGATTTCACTAAACAAGAATTCTGTATTTAATTTAAATTATTTCTCGTTTTATAATGTACAATGTTTTCCTTACTTGTTTCACAGTCATTGATAGTAAATAATGCCAATGTAAACACCTCGGTGTTCTTTCAACATAATGTAGACAAAATAGACCGCCTGACTTATGAATTGAACTAAGGTGATAAATGAATCAAAGCCTTTCAAATTACCTTGTTTATATCTTTAATGAAAAATAAATTATTATATTTGAATATTAAACGAATCATAAATTTAAATTGTACAATATAATATTATATAAAGATGGTACAAATAAATAGATTGATTACAACATCACATTAACAAGGGAGGTTACTACTTTTAAAAACTTATAAGAAAACTACCCCGGTCGTTAAAGTATACATGCACAGTCACTGTGGTTATCAGATCTTTAATCGAAGATAATGTCGACGGATGCAAAAGACTTTATCAATATGATCTTTACTTTTAAATTTAGAAAGGTTGATCTCAGATGATTAGAATTCATGACCAAGGTCCATTATACGAACATTTAGGACGGTAATGTGTTTTGCT